TATTCCAGTAATGCCATAATTGTTTTATAAATTAAGTGAAAATTGTGAAACAGATTTATAAAACATGTCCCTTTAACACGGACTTACACAGACAGAATGACCGTTACTAACAGGGACTTAGATAGACAGACCATGGCTACTAATACGGACTAAATTAGACAGAACAATGGCTACTAGCAAAAACTTAAATAGACAGAACTATGGCTACTATATAAAAATAAAAAGGCGTAGTATGATTGCCAATAAGACAACTAAGGTTGTGCTAGCACGGACTTAAACGGCCACTGTCACGCAAAATAAATAAACAGGAATTGACAAAACTCACCAAAGACACCAACCAGGCTTTTTATTCAGTCTGTCTTATTTTAAACTTTAAAAGTGAATCATAATTTTCAGTATAGAGAAAAAAGTATGATGTATGGAATGTTGATAGTAAAAGTCCAAATTGAAAGCACATCAAAATTGTGTAATAATAATATAGATTCAAAACAAATACCTGATTTGTATGCAATGCATTTCATTAGTTAAACAAGTCAAAATCGTAACGATATTCATAATTCTTGCCTATAAAAAAACAACAGAAGCAAATCTTCTTTTATTTCGATGCGTTTACACACCGGATGTGAGGACTGATATTTCTGTCTTAAAATGTCACGGAGTATCGAAATCAATTTTATAATTTTCATAATAAGATGGTGTCAGTGGTTTATACAACTGATAAATAAATCATAATTTGCTTTTCCTATACAACTATATGATATGAAATATGGGTGTCTCAGTTTACCAAGTCAAGATATGGGACATGTCAACGATATGTCTAGATCTTTTATCTGTGTTATATTTGTCGTTATGTTTGTGTGTAAATATAACCGTAGAAAATAATGAGTGTCGTTTTAAATTGAATATTTCTTGTTTTAAATGTTTATTTATTCTTAAATATAATGTTTCGTTATTTCAAATACCTAAATCGATTATAGATTTTAATAATTTACAACGTAATCCGATGGCATTTAAAAGTGCGAAAGATAATACACGTATCTTACATTCAACTACAAAAGAGGCAATTGTCGCTATTTTACTAAGTTTTGCCGGAGGACGATTATTATTGTATAAGATTGGACAATAATAGATATATTTTATCAGAACACTTTTTAACGTTTTAAGATTTGATTGAATGTATAATTGTTTTGCAAACTGTTGCTTGGGCATTCTTCACTAGTTTCCAAACTGTATACTTGTGTGAATAAATTTGTATATGTTGTGAATGGTCTTCTGTTTAAAGCAGCCACAGTGTCGAATATAGACCAACACACTTTAATGTAACCCGTATGAATTTATGGGATTATATATATACATGATGTAAAAGTCATCATTTGGAAATGTTGTGACTACATTTGTTTTCTATTTGTACACCGTCTATTCAATTCTTGTCAGTGTGTTGGTATACATATTATTATATAAGAAAGTTTAAGTTTCAGTTTTGTGAAATTTAATGTCAATTAAGAAACTTGATACATCTTTTTGCACTGGCTTTAGTGAAAACTATCGACAAACTTATCATAATAATAATATTAAAAACAATTATAGTATCTTCTGGATATGCCTTTTTTAAAATATTTTTGTCTTTAAAGATTTTCTTTTTAATTTCCCTTTGGAATCTAAAATAACTTAAAAATATCTTCTATATTGCCATTATAAAAACATACATGTTAAAACACATTTGATTTAAATAAAAGTAAATAGATTTCATATAATATCAAAATAAGAAGATGTGGTATGATTGCCAATGAGACAACTCTTCTTAAGAGACCAAAAGACACAGAAAGTAACAACTATAGGTCACCGTACGGCCTTCAACAAAAGCAAAGCCTCTACAGCATAGTCAGTTATAAAATGCATGATTGGTCCTGTGTCATAACCTGACAAACGATACTACGCCTGTACGTAATAAACGAATGATTAAGACATATTTTTTTTCTTATTTTCAAAATTTCATTATAAATATATATGTCTTGTATGCCTGGAAAGAATAAGTGACAAATACGAGTTAAGTATAGTTATCTATAAAGGTCAGGCAGGGGGTGACTGAAAGTAAAAAAGAAAAAAAACGGATGTTTGGATGTGTAAATCACTAGGCAAGTCTGAAACATTTCGAGTTATTGATTGTTATTGTTTTTTGTTGTTTCTTTTCTCTGTAAAACTTAATATTTTGAATCCCCCTTTCAAGCCACTAAGTCGATATGTATGCAATCTTTCTGTGAGGTTTTGGGGGTTTGGATTGAAAACTGAAGGGGGAGTTGATTACACAAATTATGTATCCATTTTTCTCCGTTGCTCGCACACCCGTCCATCCGCCTATACGACATCACCACACTATAAGCTGGTTTTTGGCCAATGAAAATATTTGGGGTAAAGGTCAACGCGATAGCAAACCAACAACATCAATAGCTTAAGGACATCTATAGGTCAACGTTTGATTTTCAACAACAGCCAGGTGTCTATACCCAGGCAAATTTTGCTCACATGAATTTCACATGCATCTCACGTGAAATTTGTTATGTGATATTCACCTCAAACGAGCTTATACGTGAAATTCACGCGAACATTTTTATGTTAATTTCACGTGAATTGAGATTTACATAAATCTTGCGTGAATTTCATAAGTTAACAAACAATAAATTGTTTTTTTTCTTAATTCTCATGATTTCAATTAGATTTGAAAATTTAGATATTATATTTGAATAACTTTATTTTAAAAATTCACGTAAAAAAATCATGTGAAATCAGTTCACGTGAATAACAATTTACGTAAGTGAAATTTCACTGTGTACATCATGTGTCTACAAAAGATCCCCTGCCATCTACATCAAATGTTCAAATGACACAAACAATAAGATTAGACACAAGACAACCATTGCCGAGGTTCCAGACATACAAATGACTATAGTGATATGGGACTACCTGACAGTCGACCAACCTCTTGTACATATTTATCACCACCTACAGCAAAATATGTATCATCTTTTATTGTCATAGTAAATCAATAACTCACATTGCACATGAGATACAAATATAGTTACAGTGTTCGATGACCAGACATATGTTATGTAGCTAACACAATAATTCAATTATCAAGTATCAGAGGACAAATACTTGTGGGGGGGGGGGGTGGATCGGTGGCCGAGTGGTCTGAGTAGTTGAACTACTGTAACACTAGCATGTTAACATTGAAGTTTTGCGTTCGAATCCCACACGTCGCAGGTGCGCTCGACTCCAATCTTAATTTACTATCATTGTCAGTTTTCCTACCGAAGGTAGGTGTTTCTAACTGGGCACTCTAGCTTCCCATACCAATATGAATTGACCGCCACAAACAGCACAATAGGGATGAAAGTGGCGTTAAACACCAATCAATCAATCAGAGAAGAAGTATGTCCTTACTATTATTGTTTATAGATATAAGAAGGTGTGGTATGAGTGCCAATGAGACAACTCTCCATCCAATTCACAATTTGTAAAAGTAAACCATTATAGGTAAAAGTACGGCCTTCAACACGGAGCCTTGGCTCACACCGAACAGCAAGCTATAAAGGGCCCCATAAAATGACTAGTGTAAAACCTTTTAGCTTGTGTTGCAAAATCAGTAACCTTTTTATTTGTAAAATGTACACGAAAAAAAAACTATTTTACGTATAAATGGAATATTAGAAAAAGACACCAGGTTAAACATTTAGAAAATTTCCAAAATCTTTACCTTTTCAGTTTTTATATTTGGCATGCTTTTCAATAGTTCTGTGTATCCTTTTCTTTTAAGACTTTGAATATGAATTAATTTTTAAAAAAAATAATAAATTATGTTGTGGTTATACCACACTATTTTGTTACAAATTTTTCATATCATCTAAAAAGCGGTTACCATTTCACGTACAACCATTGACACTTGACACGTGCATGTAAAAATATATCTTAATACTAAATATATGTTATATTAATATATATCTACTGTACTGAATATAGAAGTTTATACTGCACACGTTCTATTTGAGCAGTCAAAATGCGTTGACCGTATATTTCTATGTCATATACAGTCACTGACCTGATATCACTTTTCCCCATGAATATTTAAATAGAAATTGCCGAAACTATAATTAATTATTTATACGACCTATTCAACCTGTTCTTGTTTCCAATGTATACAACGACTCAAACTTATTTCTTTTGCAATTTTTTGAAAAAAAAACATATTTCACTTGTTAATATTTTTGGTTTGCAAACTATAAATCATTATGTTTTATGCTTATTGTTGATATTTTAGTTCATTCTCAAACAAATTCGTTCACCATCGATTGCGGGTTTCAACAGGTAATTAATGTACATTTCATTGTGTTGTATATTTCTCCGCCTGCATGATATGAGTCCTTTTTATAAAAGGGGGAAGTTTCCCAATATTAAAATCAAATAATAACATTAACACATTAAACAACAATTTGAAAATGTTTTTTTTTAGATTGCAGTATAAAGACAATAATAGTGCATTGACTTGACATATCAACGATATAAGGATTCGGCTCGAAACGGGGAAAAAGCTCGGCAGAGCCTCGCATTTCACCGTTTATAAGCCTCATCCTTATATCATTGATATGTCAAGTCAATGCACTATTATTGTCTATATATGCAGATTTAGTCAGGTTTAAGCCGTATTAAATCATGGGAGAAAACGTAGCTCATTTTCAAGCAATTAGCGTTTTCCATACATCTACATCTTTCAAGTTTCAGTTTTGAGCATTCCTGATGAAGGTAAATCCAAAGGAGCTCTTGGGACACACCAACTTTATAGAGAGTTATTTTTTTTTGCACTCATTTCGCGCAAACTTTCTTAATCTTCATTCAGTTCTTCTGTTGATACCATACATGTACATTGCACATTTTTTTTTATATGCCGTTATAGCTACGGTATCGAGCCTTAGATTTAGATTGACAAAAAAGTACATACAAAAATGTAGTTTTATCATCCCTATATTTGCCATTTTTAACCTGAAAAATGAAATAAGGCGTCCTCCAAAAACAACTTATGATAATTCTAACAAAACTAATACATCCGCTACTGTCCAGAGGCTGAACGTGGTACTATAATTTTGTGATTTTCGGGACTTTTTTCTACCTTTTAAAACATGTAAATGACTAACATTTAGCATCAAACAGTCCCGAATCAATACATGTATTAGGCTATGCATACAAATCTTGATATTCCATAAGTACATTTCGCTTATAAACGTAGAGGTTACGTTTCAGATGTTTAAATGTGCAAGAATTTTGTAAAAGTTGAGAAGAATTTTCGTCAAGTTGAAATCCGCTGCTACTCATAACCTTAACTACGTAGGTAATTGGTCTATTGTTTACATGATTTAAACCTCCTTGTCCAGGAACAGCCCAACTTAAAATCACACCTTCTTTTGCATGTCTGAATATATTGTCCAAAAATATACCCTCGTATTGCTTTGGTATATGTTCGGCTACTTCAATTGAAATAACCCAATCATACACTGGTAGTCCATATTGAGGAATTGTAAGGTCCATAAATTTAACATTCCCCTTGCTCTCCTCTTCAGAAAATGGTCCACCATCGTATGAATCATATGATTTTATATTTCCTAGTTTTAGAAGCTCGTTTTTATACTGTCCAGTTCCGTCTCCGAAGCTTGCAACAGTTTTTCCTTGCAAAAAATTGGACAATGCAGGCAGAAGTGTTTTATCTGCTCCACTATGCCCACCTCGTTTACAATATCCCCCTCCTTCAACTGTGGGCCTTCGCCTCTGAAATAGGATCATGCAAACTAGAAAATAACAATAAAAAAAAGAAAAATATTCCAAAAAATAAAAATATAAAATCTGATTGTTGTCAAGAACTTAATGGCGCATTGTATTATGTATACCCGCTTTTTAAAACAAATTTAGTTTACTAAATGGCAGGAGTTTTTACTGGGTTTCATGTTTTTCGGTTATAGATTTTCTGTATTTCGTTAAATTGCTACATTTTTTTTTCTCTGGGTTTGTTAGATAACTTTGAGGTTTAATCTAAAAAAGAATGAATGTCCGTTAATGCTGGCTGAAACGTGGAAAATTTCCTCAAACAAATTTACGGCGAGCCGAACTTCCCACTTGTAAAACAGTCATTTCAAGTTGTCAATAGAACTAATATTGCGACTGTCTCGTGATGTTTTATACAGTTTTGATAAAGATGCTCTAAAATGTACATTTTATTTGGCTTTCCATATTTTTGGTTCTGAACTATCGGCAAACGGTCCGGGTACACAGTTATCGTCCTTTGATTTTCGTTGTCCACGAATATAGTCCCTAGTGTGGACAGTGTGTTACTTGTCGATTTTTTTTATACCCCTTCCGAATTTATTTCTCCATGTTTTATGACTCAAATAGTAAGAAGGGGGGTGAAATGACACTGTAAAAAAATTTGGGTCATGAATTTTAAAGTAAAGTAGTGATTTGGTCCAGCTGAAAAATGTTAAAAATTAGCACATCGGAAGCTGTCAAAAGATTTGAAGACCCCCTTAGCATGAAATTGTCCATATTTTGAGTTAGAGCCGATGAAGTTTTCTATAATTTTGATATAATTTGTCCCAAAAGTAGTACAACACACTGTAAAAATATTATTGAGAAAGCGCAGGTGGGATTTTTTTAATTTCCATTTATTGTCTAAAAGAAATGCACTACGAAATAACTGTGTACTCGGACCTAAGAGGTGAAATCAGGAAATATAGAATCTGTACTTTGGCAACTTCCCTGAATGATTTGATGGTGTCAATTTATCAAATAGCATAAAACTAAAGGATTTAAACTTTTATTTGATAGAATTTCTGCAAAAATGACCAATTTTGGCATTTTATGGTCAAAATAAACATTTCATAGCTTTTTCAATTTTGATGCATAAGTGGCATTCTGACTTTCTATCTGACAGGTTTTTATGTGTCAATATTTGTGTTTCTATGTTTCAATCCAGTTGTATTACTCATTTGTGAACTCTGAATCTACAGAAAAGAAGATTATCTCAGACAATATGCGCAAAATGTGTTGTATATATGATCATCGTTTTACGCCCTGTTTGGATCAAGTTAAATGTGAGGAGCTTGGAACATAAAAGTTGAAGTCCATTATAAAGACCTCACTAAATTTGTATAAAAAGCACTTAACAATGTCTTTTGTACCTGTTTTATGTCACAAAATACCTTTCTTTTCTTCTGTAGGATAGCAAGTGGTTCAAATATAAGCCTGTTGAGACTAAAATTGCATGCATGTTTTTCACTAAAAAGTGAAAAATCTTTGTATCAGACCATACTGTCTGCAAAAAAAGTTGAATGCAAGAGTCTTTTTGTGCTCAGATTTATTGTATCATGTCACCTGAGTATAGAAATGATAGAAAAGACACAAAATTTTATTTCATATAGCTTCATATGCATTTTTAAATGTAAATATGTGATACGGCCTAAATTGACCCTAAATTATTTTCAGTCTTACTTGGCCTAAGACCCTTTTAAGCTAATGTGATATGTTATTTGTAAGTTTTCTTTCCATTTAAAGTACATTAAATACATATGTAAGGATTATTTATAACCAAAAAGCTTTACAAATTTAAAATTGCTGGAAAATATTACATCTTCATGTAAGGCCCCCCTTCATTGGAAAACCTCCATTTTTAGCCACAGGCTCATATAAATTTGACTTTTTAATAATTATGATAAGTCTGATGAATCAAATGAGTACTCTATTGCTTTTAATACATAATATATTATATATTAAGGCATTTCAAAAGTATTTTTTTGCAATATTTTAATTTTTTAAGCCTCAATTGTTGATAGTTGAAAATTTTCAATTTTAACGTCTAAATTTAACACTCAAAGTTCAATATAGAATTAGTCATATTGTCTATAATATATATCCTATTGCCATGAAACTTTGTAAGCAGTCTTATAATTTAATAAGCTTTAGTCATACCAAGTTTCATTAAGATTGGTCAACTTTTTCTACCCTATTAGGTCCGGGTACACAGTTATCGTCCTTTGATTTTCGTTGTCCACGAATATAGTCCCTAGTGTGGACAGTGTGTTACTTGTCGATTTTTTTTATACCCCTTCCGAATTTATTTCTCCATGTTTTATGACTCAAATAGTAAGAAGGGGGGTGAAATGACACTGTAAAAAAATTTGGGTCATGAATTTTAAAGTAAAGTAGTGATTTGGTCCAGCTGAAAAATGTTAAAAATTAGCACATCGGAAGCTGTCAAAAGATTTGAAGACCCCCTTAGCATGAAATTGTCCATATTTTGAGTTAGAGCCGATGAAGTTTTCTATAATTTTGATATAATTTGTCCCAAAAGTAGTACAACACACTGTAAAAATATTATTGAGAAAGCGCAGGTGGGATTTTTTTAATTTCCATTTATTGTCTAAAAGAAATGCACTACGAAATAACTGTGTACTCGGACCTAAGAGGTGAAATCAGGAAATATAGAATCTGTACTTTGGCAACTTCCCTGAATGATTTGATGGTGTCAATTTATCAAATAGCATAAAACTAAAGGATTTAAACTTTTATTTGATAGAATTTCTGCAAAAATGACCAATTTTGGCATTTTATGGTCAAAATAAACATTTCATAGCTTTTTCAATTTTGATGCATAAGTGGCATTCTGACTTTCTATCTGACAGGTTTTTATGTGTCAATATTTGTGTTTCTATGTTTCAATCCAGTTGTATTACTCATTTGTGAACTCTGAATCTACAGAAAAGAAGATTATCTCAGACAATATGCGCAAAATGTGTTGTATATATGATCATCGTTTTACGCCCTGTTTGGATCAAGTTAAATGTGAGGAGCTTGGAACATAAAAGTTGAAGTCCATTATAAAGACCTCACTAAATTTGTATAAAAAGCACTTAACAATGTCTTTTGTACCTGTTTTATGTCACAAAATACCTTTCTTTTCTTCTGTAGGATAGCAAGTGGTTCAAATATAAGCCTGTTGAGACTAAAATTGCATGCATGTTTTTCACTAAAAAGTGAAAAATCTTTGTATCAGACCATACTGTCTGCAAAAAAAGTTGAATGCAAGAGTCTTTTTGTGCTCAGATTTATTGTATCATGTCACCTGAGTATAGAAATGATAGAAAAGACACAAAATTTTATTTCATATAGCTTCATATGCATTTTTAAATGTAAATATGTGATACGGCCTAAATTGACCCTAAATTATTTTCAGTCTTACTTGGCCTAAGACCCTTTTAAGCTAATGTGATATGTTATTTGTAAGTTTTCTTTCCATTTAAAGTACATTAAATACATATGTAAGGATTATTTATAACCAAAAAGCTTTACAAATTTAAAATTGCTGGAAAATATTACATCTTCATGTAAGGCCCCCCTTCATTGGAAAACCTCCATTTTTAGCCACAGGCTCATATAAATTTGACTTTTTAATAATTATGATAAGTCTGATGAATCAAATGAGTACTCTATTGCTTTTAATACATAATATATTATATATTAAGGCATTTCAAAAGTATTTTTTTGCAATATTTTAATTTTTTAAGCCTCAATTGTTGATAGTTGAAAATTTTCAATTTTAACGTCTAAATTTAACACTCAAAGTTCAATATAGAATTAGTCATATTGTCTATAATATATATCCTATTGCCATGAAACTTTGTAAGCAGTCTTATAATTTAATAAGCTTTAGTCATACCAAGTTTCATTAAGATTGGTCAACTTTTTCTACCCTAAGAGGTGAAATCAGGAAATATAGAATCTGTACTTTGGCAACTTCCCTGAATGATTTGATGGTGTCAATTTATCAAATAGCATAAAACTAAAGGATTTAAACTTTTATTTGATAGAATTTCTGCAAAAATGACCAATTTTGGCATTTTATGGTCAAAATAAACATTTCATAGCTTTTTCAATTTTGATGCATAAGTGGCATTCTGACTTTCTATCTGACAGGTTTTTATGTGTCAATATTTGTGTTTCTATGTTTCAATCCAGTTGTATTACTCATTTGTGAACTCTGAATCTACAGAAAAGAAGATTATCTCAGACAATATGCGCAAAATGTGTTGTATATATGATCATCGTTTTACGCCCTGTTTGGATCAAGTTAAATGTGAGGAGCTTGGAACATAAAAGTTGAAGTCCATTATAAAGACCTCACTAAATTTGTATAAAAAGCACTTAACAATGTCTTTTGTACCTGTTTTATGTCACAAAATACCTTTCTTTTCTTCTGTAGGATAGCAAGTGGTTCAAATATAAGCCTGTTGAGACTAAAATTGCATGCATGTTTTTCACTAAAAAGTGAAAAATCTTTGTATCAGACCATACTGTCTGCAAAAAAAGTTGAATGCAAGAGTCTTTTTGTGCTCAGATTTATTGTATCATGTCACCTGAGTATAGAAATGATAGAAAAGACACAAAATTTTATTTCATATAGCTTCATATGCATTTTTAAATGTAAATATGTGATACGGCCTAAATTGACCCTAAATTATTTTCAGTCTTACTTGGCCTAAGACCCTTTTAAGCTAATGTGATATGTTATTTGTAAGTTTTCTTTCCATTTAAAGTACATTAAATACATATGTAAGGATTATTTATAACCAAAAAGCTTTACAAATTTAAAATTGCTGGAAAATATTACATCTTCATGTAAGGCCCCCCTTCATTGGAAAACCTCCATTTTTAGCCACAGGCTCATATAAATTTGACTTTTTAATAATTATGATAAGTCTGATGAATCAAATGAGTACTCTATTGCTTTTAATACATAATATATTATATATTAAGGCATTTCAAAAGTATTTTTTTGCAATATTTTAATTTTTTAAGCCTCAATTGTTGATAGTTGAAAATTTTCAATTTTAACGTCTAAATTTAACACTCAAAGTTCAATATAGAATTAGTCATATTGTCTATAATATATATCCTATTGCCATGAAACTTTGTAAGCAGTCTTATAATTTAATAAGCTTTAGTCATACCAAGTTTCATTAAGATTGGTCAACTTTTTCTACCCTATTAGGTCCGGGTACACAGTTATCGTCCTTTGATTTTCGTTGTCCACGAATATAGTCCCTAGTGTGGACAGTGTGTTACTTGTCGATTTTTTTTATACCCCTTCCGAATTTATTTCTCCATGTTTTATGACTCAAATAGTAAGAAGGGGGGTGAAATGACACTGTAAAAAAATTTGGGTCATGAATTTTAAAGTAAAGTAGTGATTTGGTCCAGCTGAAAAATGTTAAAAATTAGCACATCGGAAGCTGTCAAAAGATTTGAAGACCCCCTTAGCATGAAATTGTCCATATTTTGAGTTAGAGCCGATGAAGTTTTCTATAATTTTGATATAATTTGTCCCAAAAGTAGTACAACACACTGTAAAAATATTATTGAGAAAGCGCAGGTGGGATTTTTTTAATTTCCATTTATTGTCTAAAAGAAATGCACTACGAAATAACTGTGTACTCGGACCTAAGAGGTGAAATCAGGAAATATAGAATCTGTACTTTGGCAACTTCCCTGAATGATTTGATGGTGTCAATTTATCAAATAGCATAAAACTAAAGGATTTAAACTTTTATTTGATAGAATTTCTGCAAAAATGACCAATTTTGGCATTTTATGGTCAAAATAAACATTTCATAGCTTTTTCAATTTTGATGCATAAGTGGCATTCTGACTTTCTATCTGACAGGTTTTTATGTGTCAATATTTGTGTTTCTATGTTTCAATCCAGTTGTATTACTCATTTGTGAACTCTGAATCTACAGAAAAGAAGATTATCTCAGACAATATGCGCAAAATGTGTTGTATATATGATCATCGTTTTACGCCCTGTTTGGATCAAGTTAAATGTGAGGAGCTTGGAACATAAAAGTTGAAGTCCATTATAAAGACCTCACTAAATTTGTATAAAAAGCACTTAACAATGTCTTTTGTACCTGTTTTATGTCACAAAATACCTTTCTTTTCTTCTGTAGGATAGCAAGTGGTTCAAATATAAGCCTGTTGAGACTAAAATTGCATGCATGTTTTTCACTAAAAAGTGAAAAATCTTTGTATCAGACCATACTGTCTGCAAAAAAAGTTGAATGCAAGAGTCTTTTTGTGCTCAGATTTATTGTATCATGTCACCTGAGTATAGAAATGATAGAAAAGACACAAAATTTTATTTCATATAGCTTCATATGCATTTTTAAATGTAAATATGTGATACGGCCTAAATTGACCCTAAATTATTTTCAGTCTTACTTGGCCTAAGACCCTTTTAAGCTAATGTGATATGTTATTTGTAAGTTTTCTTTCCATTTAAAGTACATTAAATACATATGTAAGGATTATTTATAACCAAAAAGCTTTACAAATTTAAAATTGCTGGAAAATATTACATCTTCATGTAAGGCCCCCCTTCATTGGAAAACCTCCATTTTTAGCCACAGGCTCATATAAATTTGACTTTTTAATAATTATGATAAGTCTGATGAATCAAATGAGTACTCTATTGCTTTTAATACATAATATATTATATATTAAGGCATTTCAAAAGTATTTTTTTGCAATATTTTAATTTTTTAAGCCTCAATTGTTGATAGTTGAAAATTTTCAATTTTAACGTCTAAATTTAACACTCAAAGTTCAATATAGAATTAGTCATATTGTCTATAATATATATCCTATTGCCATGAAACTTTGTAAGCAGTCTTATAATTTAATAAGCTTTAGTCATACCAAGTTTCATTAAGATTGGTCAACTTTTTCTACCCTAAGAGGTGAAATCAGGAAATATAGAATCTGTACTTTGGCAACTTCCCTGAATGATTTGATGGTGTCAATTTATCAAATAGCATAAAACTAAAGGATTTAAACTTTTATTTGATAGAATTTCTGCAAAAATGACCAATTTTGGCATTTTATGGTCAAAATAAACATTTCATAGCTTTTTCAATTTTGATGCATAAGTGGCATTCTGACTTTCTATCTGACAGGTTTTTATGTGTCAATATTTGTGTTTCTATGTTTCAATCCAGTTGTATTACTCATTTGTGAACTCTGAATCTACAGAAAAGAAGATTATCTCAGACAATATGCGCAAAATGTGTTGTATATATGATCATCGTTTTACGCCCTGTTTGGATCAAGTTAAATGTGAGGAGCTTGGAACATAAAAGTTGAAGTCCATTATAAAGACCTCACTAAATTTGTATAAAAAGCACTTAACAATGTCTTTTGTACCTGTTTTATGTCACAAAATACCTTTCTTTTCTTCTGTAGGATAGCAAGTGGTTCAAATATAAGCCTGTTGAGACTAAAATTGCATGCATGTTTTTCACTAAAAAGTGAAAAATCTTTGTATCAGACCATACTGTCTGCAAAAAAAGTTGAATGCAAGAGTCTTTTTGTGCTCAGATTTATTGTATCATGTCACCTGAGTATAGAAATGATAGAAAAGACACAAAATTTTATTTCATATAGCTTCATATGCATTTTTAAATGTAAATATGTGATACGGCCTAAATTGACCCTAAATTATTTTCAGTCTTACTTGGCCTAAGACCCTTTTAAGCTAATGTGATATGTTATTTGTAAGTTTTCTTTCCATTTAAAGTACATTAAATACATATGTAAGGATTATTTATAACCAAAAAGCTTTACAAATTTAAAATTGCTGGAAAATATTACATCTTCATGTAAGGCCCCCCTTCATTGGAAAACCTCCATTTTTAGCCACAGGCTCATATAAATTTGACTTTTTAATAATTATGATAAGTCTGATGAATCAAATGAGTACTCTATTGCTTTTAATACATAATATATTATATATTAAGGCATTTCAAAAGTATTTTTTTGCAATATTTTAATTTTTTAAGCCTCAATTGTTGATAGTTGAAAATTTTCAATTTTAACGTCTAAATTTAACACTCAAAGTTCAATATAGAATTAGTCATATTGTCTATAATATATATCCTATTGCCATGAAACTTTGTAAGCAGTCTTATAATTTAATAAGCTTTAGTCATACCAAGTTTCATTAAGATTGGTCAACTTTTTCTACCCTATTAGGTCCGGGTACACAGTTATCGTCCTTTGATTTTCGTTGTCCACGAATATAGTCCCTAGTGTGGACAGTGTGTTACTTGTCGATTTTTTTTATACCCCTTCCGAATTTATTTCTCCATGTTTTATGACTCAAATAGTAAGAAGGGGGGTGAAATGACACTGTAAAAAAATTTGGGTCATGAATTTTAAAGTAAAGTAGTGATTTGGTCCAGCTGAAAAATGTTAAAAATTAGCACATCGGAAGCTGTCAAAAGATTTGAAGACCCCCTTAGCATGAAATTGTCCATATTTTGAGTTAGAGCCGATGAAGTTTTCTATAATTTTGATATAATTTGTCCCAAAAGTAGTACAACACACTGTAAAAATATTATTGAGAAAGCGCAGGTGGGATTTTTTTAATTTCCATTTATTGTCTAAAAGAAATGCACTACGAAATAACTGTGTACTCGGACCAAACATCGGCAGATTCCGTTACCCGACATCTTGTCAGATCTGTCGAGGTGTGCCGAATGGAACTACCTGGTATACCGAATAAAAAAACGCATGGCGTGCACACTTAAATATGTAACAAACGTTTGAATGAGATATGTATATTAAAACTTCTCCATATAAAAGATACGTAAGTTTTACAGTGTACGTCAGTTAGACCGCACCCAAGGGTTGACTGGGGTTCAAAAATATCATCACCTGGATTTCTCGTGTTCAGTAAAAGTCAAGCTGACGGGCCGGGCCGTCAGGCTGGCCTTGTGTGTATAAAGAAAGCAGCAAAGTTGGAATGTTGATGATAAATTATGTAGAAAGAATAATCACGCCCTCTGTACGTTAACTCTTGTAACAACAAGTTTATTGGTCCTTACAATATTGGCACTCGTACCACATCTTCTTATATCTACTTACAGTTCTGCACCGTTCTAACATATTTTCTATTTCCAGTGGCAGTTTAAATTTCCTGCTCCTTATAAATTGCGATTAATCTACTTTGCAGAATCTAAGAATTGAATTTATTGTTAATTCGTTATTGTCCTAAAATCCCCCCTTTAAATATGTTTTCTATTAAAAATACCGTAAAAACACAATAATCTTTTTTTTATAATTTACCTCACACTGAAGTTTCCCCATCTTTTTGCTCAGTTTATTCAGCATCTCTGACACAGTATTCCGTTGATTGCGTACATTGGTCATGTAAGTATCATTCTGTTCTGTATAGTTTCCATTGCTTAAGGTTACATAATATAAACCCAGTACTATGTACCCAGACAGCAATAATAGCAAAAAATGCTTGGCATTGTTGTTCACCATATTTGTACTGTCATGGACATCTAAAAAATTAAAAGTACTTCAAATCTAAATTCTATATTACCATGAACTTAAATGTTGCCCATTTTTCTCTATTTTCTATATTTTAGCACCTAGCTATTAATATCTTATCTTTTCATTTTTTTTGCCTATTTTTCTCTATTCTATATTTTTTGGGCCCATTTTTCTCTATTCTGTAAACCCCATCTAGACCCTCATTACTGTTCATTGGTGTCAATTTAAAACAAGTAAGCAGACAGAGAATGTTCATGTCACAACGATGTCTATGATTTTAAATGCAGTAAAAATATATGTTCTTAAGTTAGTTTAATGTTTGATGTTCTTCATACTCAAAAGTTCGATAAGTTTAAACACACTTGGCCTACACCAGTAATAATTCTTGATGTATTTTGCTCTAAATTCCTTATATTGAGGACACGCTAGGATAAAATGGAATTCGGCTTCAATTGGTATTTAACATAGACACTGATTTCACTTGATCGCCGCGATATAAAATTGAGAATGGAAATGGGGAATGTGTCAAAGAGACAACAACCCGACCATAGAGCAGACAACAGCCGAAGGCCACCAATGGGTCTTCAATGCAGCGAGAAACTCCCGCACCTGGAGGCGTAGCCTTTTTGTGCTGATGCGGCGTAAAGCAATCACCTATCAATCAATCACTTGATTGTGATACCATGATATAAGAATATAAATAATAAAAAAAGATAGACTATAATATATAGAACTATATTGCGACAGATAAATATAAAAAAGGCAATGATGAGACGAATAAGCATAAACAATAGAACAGTTGACTTGTATGATTGTTATAACTAATAACTTGCCTTGGTCACGGTGTATAACCGCCGTACAGTTAATTACGGACTTTGCTGCGTATATCGAAGCGAGGTTTATAAATACAGAGTCAAAGCATTTTCCTTCAAAAACGAATTGTCGTAAAAGTTAGCATATAATGCTTAAAGAAAAAAGGTTGACGAGATTCTCGGTAAAAATTTACATGTAATTGTACATTACTTTATATGTAGTAACATAAAAAGCTATCAAATAAAGTTTTCGAATACGCTTACCATGTTTTATTTATTGTTTTATTTGAACAAGTTGTTCGTTACCCGATGTTTATTTGTAATTTTATACATTTGTTTATTGAATAATGCTATATAATGAATTACAAAATCATTATTTTATTAAAATTAAAAAAATTTAAAGACGGATATTCGAATTTCACTACTGTACCCATCGTTGTCTGTATAGTGTGTGTGTGTGATTTGTACCGTTCGTTGTCTGTATAGTGTGTGTGTGATTTGTACCGTTCGTTGTCTGTATAGTGTGTGTGTGATTTGTACCGTTCGTTGTCTGTATAGTGTGTGTGATTTGTACCATTCGTTGTCTGTATAGTGTGTGTGATTTGTACCATTCGTTGTCTGTATAGTGTGTGTGCTTTGTACCATTCGTTGTCTGTATAGTGTCTGTGATTTGTACCATTCGTTGTCTGTATAGTGTGTTTAATTTGTACCGTTCGTTTCAAATTCTTGTACAATATTAGTCTTTTCAGTAAGTAGGGTTAAAATGATGATTAGCAGCCACTAGAGCCCTAGAGCAGGGTAGAGCACTAGTGGTATTTGGCCAAGGTCAAATAGTACGAGAGATAGTTGGTTGGTGACAAGGGTATGTTTGAGGGTGGTGTCCATTTAGTCTCCACGTCACAGAATCTATTTATTCAAGCGTTGAAATTCAGATATATTTTACCAGGTTTTCTTTACCACTAAAAAGGGGCCAGATATATATCGTTTTTTATATAGATTAGACCGTTGGTTTTCCCGTTTGAATGGTTTTACACTAGTAATTTTTGGGGCCCTTTATAGCTTGCTGTTCGGTGTGAGCCAAGGCTCCGTGTTGAAGACCGTACTTTGACCTATAATAGTTTACTTTTATAAATTTTGACTTGGATGGAGAGTTGTCTCATTGGCACTCATACCACATCTTCTTATATGTATTCAACCGTTGTTTCAACAATGTCAAAAAGTTGTTTTAACTCTCTGAATCTATGCAAACTATACTTAAATAATAAGATATATATCTGGCCCCTTTTTGTGGTAAAGAAAACCTGGTAAAATATATCTGAATTTCAACGCTTGAATAAATAGGTTCTGTGACGTGGAGACTAAATGGACACCACCCTCAAACATACCCTTGTCACCAACCAATCATCTCTCGTACTATTTGACCTTGGCCAAATACCACTAGTGCTCTACCCTGCTCTAGAGCTCTAGTGGCTGCTTATCATCATTATAACCCTACTTTTGTCGTTGTGCGTTTCCAAATGTCAGATTTCTACATCAATACGGTAGACATGTATGTGAATACTGCGTGACAAGACCTGAAAGCTTATGTAAATAAAGTACTTTAAGTTGTCATTTTAAATTTTTCTAAAGAATATAATAAAACGTTGTATCCATAGAGTAACTACTTGAACTGTAATTGGTTTAATTCAATGAAATTCAAAATTGGGTTAAATGTGTTCGACGGTATATTTGAATGTTCTGTGCTAAGGTTATAACTCATTAATAAAAATTTGTCAGGAACGTTTTTTGAAATTAAATTGAACAAATAGCAAGACCAGTGAATCCGCACATTTCGTGTTAATAGTCAGCTGCGATAATATAAAGAAAACGACCATTTAACTTCAAGGGGAGGGTTATGGTTTTTTCCTAAATAAATATTCTGATCCGCCATTTGATGAAAACAATATTGTGGTCAAGCAGATGACCAAAAAAAAATATTCTGAATCCAGATTTTCTTCATCTTATAGTGTTAAATTTTGAAAAACAATAATTTGATTGATAGCTTTGCGCTTTGCGCGAAAAAAAATTCTGACTCAGACAAAAAACCATACCCCCCCCCCCCCCCCCCCCCCCCACCCCTTGAAGTTAAATGGTTGCTCCCTAACGGCTTCAAACCCAAACAGTGTTGCTAGATGTGTAAGGATTTTAAAATTGTTATATGTTACATCATACATATACACGAGATTAAAATACCTAAAAGTTAGGTATTCCTATACAGACAACATAATAAGTATGTTCTTATCGCGCAATTACTAGTAACGTACAGAGTATCGAAGAACTTTGCAGTAAACAAGTTACAAAGACGAATATTTTTGAAATAATCATAACAATTACAATGAAATAGGCATTTACGATATATTAGGAATAAAATACGCTTGCAATACGTATACCAGTTGGGTTTTTTTTAAGTTTTTGTGTACAAATTTAATGTAGATCGTGTGTCTTTTATCTGTGCATCCCTTTATGCTCGGCATTTTGCAAAAATACTTTTTGGTTTAAGAATATTTAACTAAGTATCATTTAATACACAACACATACATCTAAAGTTTGAAATTTAAACTATAAAAAAAATCAAGTGTATTTAAGATTAAAAAAATCTTTTAACATCAAGGGCAGATAACTATATTGAATTTGATAGGACAATTTGTATTTTCTTTTTTCAAGACAATAAGTCCCGTGACCCCCTATTTGTATTTGATATATCGGAAGTATTTGTGAAATGTAATTCTTTCATTGAATTTTATCCAAGTCTATCTTTAATGATTCCTCAATAAGGAAACTTTAAGCAATCAACAATAAATATATATTAACAAATAAGGAAACAATAAGTTTTACCTAGTATATTATAATTCATATAAAATGACTGTGATTTCGATATTTTCAATGTATTTCTACGTAAAAACAAGGTCCGTGACCTCAGTTTTAATATTGAAATTTGGAAGAACATTGACCCAGAAGTCTTTTACAGAAGTTTTAGAATGGTTATTTTTTTTTCATAATTTAATATTGGATGTAACACGTCTTCTGATTGGCTGAAAGTTTTTTGTCTATCAGCTCATAGACATAATTTTGTCATGGTGACTGTGACGTCATCAACATTTTTTTGTGATTTATTCCTTAAAAATGGAATTTAGAATTAAATTATAAGGAATGACTGTAATATTTTTTATGTCTATTTTAAATTGCCTAAAAATGTGATTAAAGTAAAAATAAAACGTCCAAATGAATACAAACACAGAAAATAAATCTAATCAAAAACAAAAAATAGAGATGATAATAGAATTTAAAGTAAAATTTTGTCTTCCAAAATTTAAATAAGGGGTTCATGAGGAATTGCGTAAAAAACTATACAAAATGGGCACCACAAAAATTAAGCAATGGCAAAGTCCATACTTCGGTATAAAGGGAAAACCCAAATATGAATCTGACAAAGAAATAATAGTAGGTGCACAATAACATATTTTGATTAACATGTTGAGAAGGTTTTAATAACTCTTAATAGGGTGAGTTGCGGATACAAAATGGGTATCCCTAAATAAAGCAATGGTGAAGGCAATGCTTTTTAAGGGAAATCTAAAAAAAAAATAAAATCGAACCAAAACAAATAAAATAGCATTGCACAATATCATTATATGGTTAAAAATCATCAAATTATGATCAGGGGTTTAGGAGGAGAAAGGAAGATATTTAATTTTTAGGTATAATGTCCCCAAAAGGCTTTTGACAACAACTGCAACCTGTACCGTACAGTACGTTTTCCTGTGCCGTATAGTAAGCTGTCCTGTACCGTACAGTACAGCTGTATAAGGCTACGGTATGACCGGAATGTGAACAATTCAAAAGAGAAAACCACCGGCCTAATTTATACTACACAATTTGAAAATAAACGAATTATGACAGACAGCAACCATTGAACCTCACCCTGAACTACAAGTCCATGGTTGGGAACGTGATAATAAAGAAATTGGCGGGGTTCAACATGTTTAAATATGCTTAATGCTGAAAATTTGGTGGATAGTTGTTTCATTGGCAATCATACCACATCTCCTTATTTTTATATTAATACAAATTAGAATAATTGGTAATTACTAAAATAAAAACAATGGAAACATATATAATTACTTACCTTTCCCTGTGTTTGTTTAAGTGTTGCCTTAAATATCTATTAACGTTGTTTTTAATTGTGAACTGATATATTATTTACTTCCCAAAAAATCCAAAAACAGTGTAAACAGTTGTAGCTATTGAAGAACGGAGGAAATTATGCCAAATACCGTGTTTTGATTTTTATCCTGTTAAAATCGTTTTTTAAATCTACAATACAACTCAGATCATTTTTATAAATAATAGGTCCTTGGCACGTAAACGTCATAATTGTAAAGTGATTTAAATGTTCTATAAAACGCCAGTCAGTCACATATCTGATATCTGGCTAAAACTATACTGAGCAAGTTGAAAAAAATGCACTTAATCTCGGCATTTACATTGTATGTTATATTTTTAAACTTTAACTGAATTATTTGGGAAAAAAATAATTCACTGCAAATTAAATATCTGTTGACACTGAGATATGTTCCGCCTGTATCATGTGTATGTAATTTTGACAATATAATGCAATTGTTGATTTTAAAATGGCAATACTTAAACGTTTAAACTATGGAAAACAGTCAAAGTCAATGAACTATGATTGAAGGTGCAGTGCCAAATAATCACAGGTTATGAATAATGACAAGGCTAAAACATTGCACACTTTACAGCAACTATATACAAAATAACATTTATTTATCACATGTGGTCTTCTTTAAACTGACCTTATCCGACCTTTTATATATATAAAGTATGCAAAAGTTTCGAAGTCAATAAACCATGTCGGACGGGGAAAGCAAATATACTCTCCATGGGAATGAGACGTGCACACATCATTGATCTGCCATTAGTAGTTCATCTTAAACTACATAATCACATGTAAAATACAAATAAGTCATATATCATGTTCAATGTATATAAAAAAAAAACAAAAAAAAAAGAAACATAGAAAACTAAAGACTTAGCAACACGAACCCCACCAAAAACCGGGTGTGATCTTATCTGTTGCAGAAAGGGAAGCAGATCCTGCTCCACATGTGGCACCCGCGCCGTGTTGCTAACGTAGGTACAAACCCGGTATAAAGTCTAATTAGGTAGGTCACATTCGAGGGAAAGAAGACAACATTGTGGTTACGACAATTGGATCATATCCGTCGTCATCTGTGAAACAGATATTTCATAATGGTCAACCAAATTGAGATGGCGATCGTAAAATGTTCGAAGGAATGACTTCAACTTCACCACTTTGAACTTGAAAAGTTTATAAACATCATCTTATATATGCATTGACTTCAAAGGGAACTCTGTGACTTTTAGATGAAGAACAGCAATGAAAGCGCTGTTTCTTTGTCTTTTGTGTTGTTGTTTTTTTTTTGTTTTTTTGGTTTTTTTGCTGTGGATGTACTGATTTTGTGTCATCGATGGATACCCCATATCTTTGTTTTTCTGTTATCTTACAATGATGACTATCCGGATATATTAACCCCAGTCTGAGCTTCTCGTCTACAATTTTCAAGATATTAGACAATCAATATTTGTATTTTATCCTTTAGTTCTATTTTTTGTTGGCTATACCACCGGGTATAATTTTAACCCACCATTTCTTCGGAAAATGCATGTAACAGGTCAGGAATATGACAGTTGTATTTTTCTAAACTTGTTCTGTTGGTTGACAACATTTGGTTTTGTCAAATTATGTGGACTTCCCCTTTTTGAATTTACCTTGGAGTTCGGTATTTTCGTTATACTCTTTTACAACTAAAATCTAGACACTCTGAGGATAATATCTTGACATTTTATCTTGGTTTAGATATGCACGATGATCATAGTTTTTGGGCAATGGCAACAAACGCTACTTTATGGAAATAACTCATATGGTACAAAACGGCATTTGGACTGAAATCCGACAGAAAAAAAAAACAAAATATAGTTTTCGTATGTTTTGGGATGTGTAAAAAGATGTAGTCGAAAATTTGTTACAATTGAAATATTGTTTTGCTGTCTCTTTTTTATTTGTAAGTGTTAGGGCAAATTTCTTATTTTACGAAAGGGCCATTTTCAAAGTCTTCCAGTCATTTAATATTCAGAGTATAACTGCTTTATATGTCTACTTTGAGGTATAATATAACAACATTAATGGCGTATTTCTGAACCTGCTCCAAAATTTAAAAGTCTAAAAATTGCTTCATTTTGATAGATTTTGGCAAGTTTTGAATAATAATGGCGTCGCAAAGAACATTCCTAACGAAATGTAAAGCCATATTTTGTTTGTCTTTTAGATACACATTAATTAACGATAGTTAAGAATGTCCTTCAATAAAAAAAAAATCATTTAAAATTTGCAACATTGTATCAAAAACTGACTTCAACAGCAATGTTCAATGCTGAATAACATTTTGATTTTAATCTATTGATATTTGTAAAATAATTGTTAAAACTTAAAAAACAATTAAAGAGATTATGTAGGTTCGTCAAAACGGCAAGTATCACCAAGAGTCCAAAGGACGTGGATGTAAGTAGCAACTATATGTGACCCGTGACCGTACGGCCTTCTGCCATAAACAAAACCAATACCGTATAGTCCGATATAAAAGACCCCGAAATGCATGATAATATTTGAAACTATCCAAACGTCAAAAATAACTGCATGAACTATGACAAAACAACAACCGAATAACAAATAATTATGACACTAGAAAGAAATCAACAACCCCGAAATCACGGGCTCCCGACATGGGATAGTCACATAAAGAATGTTGCGAGGTTAAACATGACTTTTGTTAATCATTTAGACTCTTTGATATTCACATTAAGGGGGCTAGGTGGCCGAAAGGTCAAAGTAGTTCATCTAAAGCAATAACTAGCCTGTCAAGACTGAGGTTGTGAGTTCAAATCCCGCACGTGACAGGTGCGTTTGACTCGGATCTTAATTGACCAAGACTGCCAGTTTTTCTGCCGAAAGTCGTTGGTTCTCTCCGGGCACTTCGGCTCCCTCCGCCATGATATGACCAAGAGTGCTGAAAGTGGCAATAAAGACCAACAATGAATCCATCTTTTATTCACATAACGGTTCATGTAAATTTTAGGCTGGTTCTCTCCCTAGCAATATACGGGTATTAGACCCAACCAGATAAAGGTCAGGGAACCAGTCTAATGTAGATTTTTACAACTTTTTTATTCTGACAATGGACATGAAAGTAATACAGGGAAAACTGACCTTAACTAATGTACATACTACAGTGGCGCATTCATTCTTTTTTTCTCCCAAAATGAAATAACAATTTGATTTAAAGGATGAACAGTTGGGATACTTTTCTTGCTGTTCAGTATATTGAAAGTCATTACCTTACAGAAAATATTCCCTATGCGTAATGTCAATACTCTATTGATTTTAGAATAACTTAAAGAAAGGATGCTAGTGGTACTGAATGAATTTAAAACTGCGTTTGCATGTATATATTGTATATATTGTAAAAAAACATGTAAAACCACATAACGTACTTATTGACCAGTTTTTTACCTGGTTATTAATGACAAAAGTCGTCATAATATATGGGCGTTGCTATGGAATGCAATATATAATGATCTAGCTTCATATTTACTTAATATTACAAAAGTTATATATATCTTTTTTAAAATGATTCCAAGTGGTTATGACTCTCTCTGTCTCTCTTTTACAAAAAAAAGTATTTATCTTTTGTTCTCTTTGGTGTTCATGGTTTCTGTTAAATTATTTATGGCCTTTTGCGGGGGCGGGGGAGAGGAAGATTTCGAAAATCAATATTCTAGTTTGGTAAGGACTAAATCAGATAACCCTGTTCAAAAAAGAATAAATGAAGGAAAATGATTTATTTAGCAAACAAACTGCAGGATTTGAAATCAGTGAGACTGGCAAAAGGTGAAAATGAATATTACATCAGAAAATTCTATCCACCCCTCTTTATCCTCAGAATATCAAATGGTAGTCCCCTAAGTACAACTACAATCGTTATGTAACATATGTACGATTTTTAGCAAATGATAGTATAACAATAACATGACCATGAAATCAAATCGTTCAAAGTTATTTATTGAAGCGTAAATTTACATCTTCGTAGCTGTTTAAATAAACAATTTTTGAATATTTCAAAAACGCAATTAAAGAAAATAAATACTTTAATCAGTATTGATTATAATCTTAAAAGACACGCAAAGTGTAGCATTGGTATATATTGGCAGCACAAAGAGAAAGAAAATTTAAAAAAAATACCCGAACATGACTTTTGTGATATTTGCTCATGTACTTTAGTCTGGTTTCAAGTATAGATTAATATATGAGATATTTGAACAATATTTTACAAAACTAAACATATATACACAAATTATGTACATATTACGTATTATTATCTTGTTAACAGTGTAAGTCACCGACCATTCATCTTTTGTGAGTGGGGTGATTTTTTAAAATAGATTATTTAAAAATAAATTTCTTGATTTTTGTTTTGCTAAGTTCCATTGAATATAAGGGAACGGAGGGTGGTGGATTCGATATTGCGATTGAAAAAAAAATTCTTGTTCCTGTATATTATTGAAAACATAATATTTTTTTTTTATTAGATTGCAGAAAAAAAATTTGCCCCATGAAAAAAAAATGCCCCCACAAAAAAATGAATGATAATTTTCTATGCCCAAGTCAGTTACAATTCAATTTGACAATGAGAAGAGACGTGAATATAGTCTCTTATTCTTCGTCCTCTTTTTAGGACAGTGTTCCCCTTAAACAAATTTTCTCATTCATCGCAAATGCATTGTTCAGAGTCAAATTGTTCTAAAGGGTTTCTGTCTACCAAAACTATTTTACGATATCAATACACAGAAACCCTGATAAGCTGCTAATCGCACTATGTCTTGTCTTTTCCCTCCCTTAGATAGTTTTACGCTTGACGCTCACACTTTGTGACGTCGCTGATAGTTTCCCCACGAACACTGTGACATTACCGATAAGTTCTGGTGATGACTACGCCTAGATACCTAGGTACTAGAATTACGGAGCGACTGAGCACGATGATATAGATGAGGGGAGGACGATACACACACAACATTTCGCGCTGTATGTTCATCTTGTATACTAGTATATCCTTCGACTGTTATCAATAAAAGATGTTGAAGATATTTTGGATTTTGCTTTGTAAGACTTTGTGATTGTCAATTTAGTAACAGACATTTGCAAGAACAAACAGTACTGCTCCGGCTTCTTAATTTTGAGCGTGACTTTAGATACAAATGAACGAAAACATTGATGAACGATTAAATCGGTTTAAGATCAAACAACGTTTCAAAGAACTAGTTTCATATAGCTTCACTTTCTAGATGCCGCTGTACAAAGAATTGCTATAATTTTTGGACCTTTTCCCAGAGAAGCTACGTTGACTCTCTTTGTTTTTGTTATTTTTTTTCAGTAATGTCCTTGCTTTTACGTGTTTATTCTTCTTTGCTTCTTTGACTGATGCTTGTCTGTTTTCTTTCGGTACTAGTTTTTTCAACATTTGGTTTTTGATAGTCGTTTTAGTAGCTTCTCCTTCTTTTTTAATGTGTTATGCAATTTTCACGGTGCGATCTAAGTTCAGTTTGGTAATACAATGAAGTTTAAATGATATCTTTTATGAAGTTTAAATCAAAAGCAAAAGCAAAAAAATATCAATTGTAGAATATATTCTCATTCCCCCCATTTCCATGGAATGCAAGACAAACTAAAGGCTCTAAAGAGCCTGTGTCGCTCACCTTGGTATATGTGCATATTAAACAAAGGACACAGATGGATTCATGACAAAATTGTGTTTTGGTGATGGTGATGTGTTTGTAGATCTTACTTAACTGAACATTCTTGCTGCTTACAATTATCTCTATCTATAATGAACTTGGCCCAGTAGTTACAGTGGAAAATATTTTGTAAAAATTTACAAAAATTTACAAAATTTATGAAAATTGTAAAAAATTGACTATAAAGGGCAATAACTCCTTAAGGGGTCAATTGACAATTTTGGTCATGTTGACTTATTTGTAGATCTTACTTTGCTGTACATTATTGCTGTTTACAGTTTATCTCTATCTATAATAATATTCAAGATAATAACCAAAAGCTGCAAAATTTTCTTAAAATTACCAATTCAGGGGCAGCAACCCAACAACGTGTTGCCTGATTGGTCTGTAAATTTCAGGGCAGATTAATCTTGACCTAATGAACAATTTTATCCTGTCAGATTTGCTCTAAATGCTTTGGTTTTAGAGATATGAGCCAAAAACTGCATTTTACCCTATGTACTATTTTTTAGCCATGTCGGCCATCTTGGTTCGCAGGCGGGGTCATCGGACACATTTTTTTAACTAGATACCCTAATGATGATTGTGGACAAGTTTGGTTAAATTTGTCTTGAAGATTTTTGTAAAAGATTACAAAAATTTACGAAAAATGGTTAAAAATTGACTATAAAGGGCAATAACTCCTTAAGGGGTCAACTGACCATTTTGGTCAAGTTGACTTAATTGTAGATCTTACTTTGCTGAACATTATTGCTGTTTACAGTTTATCTCTATCTATAATAATATTCCAGATAATTACCAAAAACGGCAATATTTCCTTAAAATTACCAATTCAGGGGCAGCAACCCAACAACGGGTTGTCAGATTCATCTGAAAATTTCAGGGCAGATAGATCTTGACCTGATAAACAATTTTACCCCCATGTCAGATTTGCTCTAAATGCTTTGGTTTCAGAGATGTAAGCCAAAATCTACATTTTACCCCTATGTTCTATTTTTAGCCATGGCGGCCATCTTGGTTGGTTGGCCGGGTCACCGGACACATTTTTAAATCTAGATACCCAAATGATGATTGTGGCCAAGTTTGGTTTAATTTGGCCAAGTAGTTTCAGAGGAGAAGATTTTTGTAACGGACGGACGGACGGACGACGACGACGACGGACGACGGACGCCAAGTGATGAGAAAAGCTCAATTGGCCCTTTGGGCCAGGTGAGCCAAAAAGGTAATGGATAAATTTTAAATAAATAAATAAATAAATAACAACACAACAAGACAAAATTCCGAAATATGTATATTCATATCTGTCTTTTGAACATCTGATTTAATTGATAGATTTATAATATATCTTTATTTCTTAATTCCATGTGTCAATAGTATACACCTACAATATCTTATTCTTTAAGTTATACATACAAATTTTGATTATTAAATGGTAATCTTCTGGTATATACGTAGAGGTTACGTTTAAGATGTGGAAAAGTGCAAGATTGTTGTAAAAGTTTTGACGAATTTTCATCAAGCTGAAATCCGTTTTTATTCATAACTTGCATGACGTATTGGACCGATCTATTGTTAATATGTCGGAATCCACCTTGTCCAGGAACAGCCCAACTTAAAATAATTCCTTCTTTTGCATGTCTAAAAATATTATCTAAAAATATACCCTCGTATTGCTTTGGTATATGCTCAGCTACTTCAATTGAAACTACCCAATCATACACTGGTAGTCCATAATGAGGAATTGTAAGGTCCATATATCTAACAATTCCCTTGCTCTCCTCTTCAGAAAATGGTCCACCATCGTATGAATCGTATGATTTTATCTTCTTTAATTTCAAAAGCTCATTTTTATACTGCCCAGTTCCGTCCCCGAAGCTAGCGACTTTTTTTCCTTCTAAAAAGTTGGACAATGCAGGTAGAAGTGTTTTATCTGCTCCCAAATGCACACCTCGTTTACAATATCCCCCTCCTTCAGCTGTCCCTTTGCTTCTCTGAAAGAAAATACACTTTTAATTGAGAGGTAATTTAAAGCTCGACATATTGTTCACCTGTCTATTGTTGAGGGAATAGAATAGATCAGAATAGAATATGTTTATTTCCCAAATTACAGGGCCCATAAAGGGCATAAAATCAGTTACAATTGATTGACATAATTGATAATTACAACAATAAACATAACAGTGTACATGCAAATGTATATTTAGTATATTAGCATTGGATAGAATCAGAGCCAACAACGATATATATTATGAATGCACAATTAAATAATAAAATTACATTATATGCATTCATCGTTCTCAAATTATTTACTAGACTAAGTATCAATATTCAGACCGGATCTCTTTAATTCAAATGTATGTAGGGGCCTCGGTGGCCGAGTGGTCTAAGTAGTTACTACTGTAATTACTAGCCAGTCAACACTGAGGTTGTGAGTTCGAACCCCGCTCGTGCGGGTGCACTCGACTACAATCTTAATTGACTAGGATTGTCAGTTTTCCTATCGAAGGTCGGTGGTTTTCTCCGGGCTCTCCGGCTTCCTCCACCAATAAAAACTGGCCCACACGAAATAGCCCAACAGCGGTGCTTAAAAATGGCGTTAAAACACCAAAAATCAAATCAAATGTATGTTGTCCTCTAAATGTCCATTTGTTTTGGTTCTTGGATTATTTACATAGACGTATACCCCAACATCTATTTCTATTTATAACTAGTGATTTGTTTACAGCATGTTTTTATGTTTGGGTCAGTTCTCTACCTCGCATCATACAGGTATCTGAGTCATAAAATTGAGAATGGAAATGGGGAATGTGTCAAAGAGAATACAACCCGAATAAAGAGCAGAAAACAGCCGAAGGCCACCAATGGGTCTTTAACGCAGCGAGAAAATCCCGCACTCGGAGATGGGCTTCAGCTGGTCCCTAAACAAAAATGTGTACTATACTTATTTAGAGCAAACTAGATAAAGGACAGGGAACCAGTATATATGGAACGCTAAAACTGTCTTGTTATGACCATTTTCATTATATGATTTGCATTTACCTTTATATGATGTGCAAACACCTTTATATGATGTGCAAATATCCTTATATTATGTGCAAGTATCCTTATATGATGTCAAAACATCCTTATATGATGTCAAAACATCCTTATATGATGTGCATATATACTTATATGATGTGCAAATATACATGTACTTATATGATGTGCAAATGTACTTATATGATGTGCATATGTACTTATATGATGTGCAAACATTCTTATATGATGTGCAAATATTCTTATATGATGTGCAAATATCCTTATATAATGTGCAAATATACTTATATGATGTGCAAATGTACTTATATGATGTGCAAAGATCCTTATATGATGTGCAAATATACTTATATAATGTGCAAAAATATTTATGTGATGTGCAAATGTACTTATATTATGTACAATCAGCTTTATATGATGTGGTTGTGTCATTATATGATGTGGTTGTAACCTTATATGATGTGGTTCGGTTTACTTCATTATGTGATGTCGAAACGTCATTATATGATGTGCTTTCATCGTTGTTATGGTCAATGAACATGATTACGATTAGAACGATTACTGTCTAGGTCATAACTGATTCCGATATGCTTCTGTGGAATTACTATAAACCGGCACAAATATGTAGCTATCGTTTAGAAAATGGTTGAGATTTAAAAAGAGATAAACCTTGGCTTGTTGGTACCTCGTTTTAAGATGAAAAAGATCACATCTGATATTGTTGGAACATTGTCAAAATATGAATTGCAAAGTTTAGTTTTAATCGATGGGTCTACAATAATAAACATACGGGTTCTACCAGTGGCGGATCCAGAAATTTTCATAAGGGGGGGGGGGGGGGGGGGCACTGACTGCCTAAGAGGGGGCCCGCTCCAGTGATGCTTCAGTGATTCCCTATATAATCAACAAAATTTTTCCCACAAAAGGGGGGGGGCCGGCGGACCCCCTGAAAAACCCTCTAAAAACGCCTCTGTCTACAATAATGAACATACGGTTATAGTTATTTAATTTAAGAAATAATTCTTTTATGCCATGCTGTATGTTCATTTTAACAAGGGTAGGCATTATATTTGTCAATATCTTTATACCTATCGTTAGCGTTTTTTCTATAAGAAGTTATTACATGAATTTCCAGTGTGTTCATTTTTTGTAAATTTTGCCTGGGTGATCATTTTAGCTGTTCAAGTTTCTCTTTATATATTACATTTCTTAAGATAGACACAAAAATGGGAAAAAATCGGACATTGAGAGGGTAATGACTCATATAAGGAACCGGTCATTTAAAACCCCAAAAAGAGGGGATAGGAAGAAAGTAAGGGGCCTTTGATTTAATTTTTTTTGGGGTGGAAAGGTGGTATTCAGTTTTTTATAGTTGTAGATTTGCCGCCGTATAATATTATGGCGATGTCTTCGTCGTCCGTAAATATTTTGTTGCCAGACAATAACTGTTTAGGAATTAGGGGCCAAAACAGGACCAAAACCAACAATTATTATGGTTCTTTGATATGCTGAAGCTAACAATATATTTAGATTTTGGATATTGGACCTTATAGTAGGTAAATGTCCATTTTCATCTTTTTAAAATCTTAGACCACATTCATTATGCGTCACAAACCTATGATGTGTCAGATATTTAATTATATTAAAATTCATAGCTGTATCAAGCTTGAAAGGTGTTTCCATATTTTCCCTAACTGTTCAGGGTTCGACCCTCATCGTACACCCCCCCCCCCCCCCTCCTCCCCTACAGTAAAAAATAATAGTTTTGACTCGAAAGACATCAATTTTTACGCCTCGCTGAGCTCTCCTCAATTATTAAAACCTAAATCCTTAGTTTCAACAATTTCTTCCAGCAGAGTATTTTTTTATTTTGTTAGCTAATATTGAATGAAGGTGTGGTAAATATCAATGAGACAATAACCGGCATATTAAGTTCCCTAAAGTCGCAAACAACTTCCACACATGAAGTTCTAGATCCACTACTGACGCAATATTTTAAACTTATAATGCAATACAAACTTAATGCGTTTTTTTTATTTGTTATTACGAACAAAAGTATTGAGAAATGTGTATGTGTGATTGTTCGGTGGTGACTTTTTTTTTGGGTTGGGTTGGGTTGGGGGGGGGGGGGGTTGTGAAATGTTTATGTCTTTGGAAAGGGGGGTTTGTGATTGTTTTTTTTTTCTTTCTTCCAGGTCAAGACTTGAAAAAAATAAGAGAAATTCCATTGTTTCCTCCGAATGAAAGAAAATGACCACAATTATAATTTATTTATTTTTTAAATATGTTCTTGTATATACCAATTTGCAAGGAAAGGTTTCTCTATAGATAAGTTATCAAGATAATAAGCAATAAAACAACTAAACTCATAAAAGCCAAAACAGCCCAAATGGGACCTTTACTATAGAATATATTCTGACACATTGCACTATTTGTTTTTTTTTTTAAATCTATTGTAGTTTTCAATATAAACGCAAAATATTAAAAGCCGCCGCCGTAAATCTTCACTTAAAAAAAATTAAAACACAAAACACAACTCTCTATCTATAAGAGACCAACAGGCCTCAGTAAACAATAAATTAATGCAGTTTTTTTATGTTAATTTAGACACATATCTGATTAAATTACAGATATTTTGTGTCCAAGCTTTGCTTACGCGGATCTGAAAACGCTCCATTCTATTTTCTGTTTTAAAGACCATTGGGGTTCTCTGGTTTCGTCGGATTGATACACACCTTCATAAATTTGAAGGCTGAAATGTAAAATGAAGTGTTGTCAGATCCTTGTATCCAAAGCGTAGACAGATGAGCTGTACATTGTATCTTTATCAGATTGGTTAGGCACCGACATTTCATCTAGTGTGGGGAGGAGCACGTGTATTTCCATGTTCTTAGGACAAACATATTTTTCTATTTTGATAAAAAATAATTTTTTCAATAACATGGTTATTTTTTTTAAATTTCATTATTGTTTTATTTTTCCCTCATTTTCAAAGGAAACAAACTATTTCGCTTCCCTTCTGAAATAGATAAAATCTCTTTCAAGAAATTTGGAATCAAACATTTACAAAAAACATGCCCCCCACTCGCCAAAAAAAAAATCAATGCTCGGTACGTTAGCCCTGTTTACTTGAGAGTCTGGAGGTGTATATATGAGCCTGATTATAAGTATGTTTGCACTTCATATAATGATGTTTGCACATCATATAAGGATATTTGCACATCATATAATGATATTTGCACATCATATAAAGGTGTTTGCACATCATATAATGATATTTGCACATCATATAAAGGTGTTTGCACATCATATAATGACAAGTGCACATCATATAAAGATAAATGCACATCATATAATGATTTGGGCATAACAAGACAGTTTTGGCGTTCCATAAGTATACATAAATTTTAAGCTTGGAATCAATTTTATCTACGATCGAATAACTTGATAAAAGAGTACATATCAGTGTAGAAAAAAAAAATTAAATGCAAATCTTATAAATTACGTTCCGGCATTGTGGTTCTGATTATAATCTATAAAACACGAAGGGCAAAATGGTTGGGGAGTATATATCAATGATCCATGAAAGTAGGTTACTTCGACATATTTTACGCTTCTTTGATCTCTATCAAACTAACGTCCCAACTTCGTTAAGAAACTTTGAAAATAAAAGTGATGGCTTAAGCTATATTTTACGATGGGCCACACATAAAACCCTCACTTGAGTCGACTGTCTTTTCAATTTCCAATTTATCCCTCTCCACGGTATCTCAGGAAAATCCAAAAAACACACAAATATATTGTTGAACAAATTAGTATCCCCCAACTGTTATATAATGTAACTTATAGTATGATAAATTTCGCATATGCATCATTATAATTTATGGTCAACCGAACTGATTGATTGATTGATTGATTGTTTGCCTTATGCCCAGTGGCAAATTTTCCGTGCATGTTCAGGACGATCAATCAAAATGAAATAAAACTTTTTAAAAAAGAATCGGTTTCGGAAACTATCAGTCTTAGATATTTCCCTTAATTACACTCTCTGTATATTTACCTCACACTGCAGCTTCCCCATCTTTTGACTCAGTCTATTCAGCATACCTGACACAGTATTTCGTTGCTTGCATATACTATCTATACTTGAATCACACTGAAAACTCTGAACCGTAAATGAATTGTCATCTTTTTTTGATGATGTCATATAATATAAACTAACCAGGGTGTAACCAGAAAACAATAATAACAACATATCTTTTACATTTAGGTCCGGCATTTTGGTTCGGTTGATAATCTGAAGGAAAAAAATGAGAAAATTAAGTGCATTGTTATGAAATTTAGACTCGGCAGTGACAAAAGGAGAAAAGCGAATTGCTATGATATATACAATCGGCAGTGAAAAAAGTGAATTGCTATGAAATAAAGACCGCAGTGAATTATTTGAAATAATTAAAATGAATGCAAATTTATCTGATATATATATAAAATTAAATTACGTCTGTTCATAACATACTGTCAATGCCGTCAATTCGTTCTTCTTCAACAGTTTGCAATACATGCTGTAACAGTTTGATGGTCATCGTTTATTAAGAAGAACGAATTGATGCAGTGGCGGATCCAGGGGGTTGGAACACCCAATTTTTTTGACAATCAATGCATTTGAATGGGGACATATAGTTGGAACCCCCCCCCCCCCCCCCCCTTATCCTGGGTTAGGACCCCCTCCCTTTTATAAATAGTTGGATCCGCCCTTGTGATGGATCAAAAAGTTACATTATAATACGTTTCGTAGAAGAACAATGGAAGGACAAAAACGTATGTAACATTCCGAAGATGAATAATAGACGGAGTGGATAAAAGAATTACAACATGAAATCTTTCCACCAAAAATATAAAAAGTTTGTAAGGGTTCCGCGGAACCCATTGTCTCGCCTACTTTAGCTGTTAGTCGCAGGCTCAACAAAAATGGGGAAAAAATTATTAAAAATTTTTCCTCTAGATACTATCTTTTGATTGTAAGAAATTCTGTTCAAGTTTTGTAAAATTCCAAGAAGGTTTATGAATGTAACAAATGTTTTAAAAACTATAACTGCAGACTACGTAATGTTAACTGGAATAAAACTAAGCCCATCTATAAGTAATATACGGAAAAACAGGAAATAATTTTTTACAAAATTTCCTTCTAGATACTAGCTTTTGATCATAAAGAAGCTTCTGTCCAAGGGTGGTACAAATCCAGGATAGTTTAAGAAAGTTATTAAAATTTTGAAAGCTTTAACCACAGAGTGAATGTAATGTTAACTGGCAGAAAAACTAAGTCCATTTATAAGTGAAATACGGATAAGCAGGTTTTTTTTTAAAACAAAATTTACTTTTGAATACTATCTTATGATCACAAACAAGCTTCTGTCCAAGTGTGGTACAAATCCAGGATAGTTTAAGAAAGTTATTAAAATTTGAAAAACTTTAACCACAGAGTGAATGTTACGATAACTGGCAGAAAAAATAAGTCCATATATGAGTAAAATACGGATAAGCAGGATTTTTTTTTTACAAAATTTTCTTCTCGATACTATCTTATGATTATAAACAATCTTCTGTCCAAGTTTGGTAAAAATCTAGGATAGTTTAAGAAAGTTATTAAAATTTGAAAAACTTTAACCACAGAGTTAATGTAATGTTAACTGGCAGAAACACTCAGTCCATTTATGAGTAAAATACAGAAAAACAGGATTTTTTTTTTACAAAATTTTCATCTGGATACTATCTTATGATCATAAACAAGCTTCTGTCTAAGTTTGAAATGCAGGATAGTTTAAGAAAGTTGTTAAAATTTCAAAAACTTTAACCACAGGGTGAATATTTGTGGACGCCGCCGCCGCCGACGACGACGACGGAATGTAGGATTGCTATGTCTCGCTTTTGCGACAAAAGTCGCAGACTCGACAAAAAGAAAACAAATAAAAGATGATAGTGTCCATAAAATAGCAATATGCATTATTTCGAGGAAAAAAGATGGAATTAAGCTGTATATGCACTAACGGATGGATGGACCCTAATGTTACAGTATGTTATCTTACAACGAAGATCAAAGGCCTGTGACAAAGAAGCGCGTGTCACTTTGTAGTTCTTAACTATTTCAAAACTATCTAGATTGTATTACATTGTACTAAGTTCATATGTAATGTATAGTATGAGTTCTATAAATCTCTTAAAGAAAATCGGAAATCTGATATTTGCAGAACATATTTTATTGTATCTTTATAAAGTCTTTGGACATTCCTCCAGTAATTTAACATTTTATATTAAAAATAAATATCTATGTAAATAGCAGGTAGATTAACCGTGACAGTCACTTAGTTAGATGTTTTGTTCGCAATTCTTTACATAAATGACTTCATTTTAATCTATTGTTACATGTACATGACGTAATTTTTAACAGTTGAATGGCTGTTCTATGTAATATATGAAATACACACCCCTTGTTTAAGATGAATTGTGAATTAAATAGGTTCTATAGAGACTTATTAAAAGCCGACACACAACAGGCGAAATTTTAGAATTCGTAGAAAACAAGATATCGATACAAAAAGACCGATATATAAAAAAATGCCACAAACGCATTTAGGATTTTAAATGACTAAAATTAAAACTTAGAAGAGGAGTAGAGGACTCACCCCTCTTTTGTCGATTTTTAATCATAAAATCGTTCAAATATTTTGTTGCTTTTTTTTTTTCGTGTTGAAAAAATAATATAAATTAAATTGGTATACCAATAATAAATTATTATTAATAATAAATATAAAGATAAGAAGATGTGGTATGATTGCCAATGAGTCATTTCCCCACCAGAGACCAAATGACATAGAAGTTAACAACTATAGGTCTATATTATATTTACAGTACAATTTAGGAGTTTCAAGTAATTGACAATGCAGGGGCGTGCAATAGTACCCAGGTAGCACAAAAACATTTTATTGATATTTTTAAAATATATTGCAAAATGTCACAAAAATATTCAAAAATATTTTTTTGACGTGAAATGTATGGCTGTACTCATGTGAATAGCATATTTCTGGAAATATTTGTTCTGAATGTTAAAAGAGCATTATTTTTAAATATCTTGATTTTATATTTAAATAACATAATTTTGATATTATTCAGTGTCAATTGAAAATATCCAGACAACATATATCAAACGTTTTGAAAAAATATCCTTTTCGTGTCTATAATATTAGTTACATGGTGTTAGTGACCTAATATGATATATATGGGGTCAGTAAATTCCATATGGGGTGAGAGCGAATCGAAGCTCGAATCCCCATATGGAATTTACTGATCCCATATATATCGTATTAGGTCACTAGCACACCGTGTAACGAATTTATCTTACCGACTATCTTCACATGTGGTATGTTGACTAGCGACCCATCAAAGTGATTTTAAAGTCTTCAATACTTAGTATTAAGATCCTACTTCCATATGTCTATGCAAAAAACAAATGCCCACAATAACAACTTTTTAGCTTTAAATTTGTTTTATGAATTTATTTCAATCGTTCATTACATGTATCAATTTCTTCGTCTGTTGAAACCTTTCAGATTTCTTTTTTGTTTTGAAAGGGAAGTAACTCCTTAATGCCAACAATAACAACTTGTTAGCTTTAATTATGTTTTATCAATTTATTTCAATCTTTCATCATCAATTTCTTCGTCTGTTGAAACCTTTCAGATTTTTCCTCAACACCGTGTTGTTTTTATAAAGGGTCGTGCCATCTTTTTTGTTTTGAAAGGGAAGTAACTCCTTACTAACCCCATATGGTAACTAACCATGTATGGTAACTAACCCTATATTTTTTAGGACATCCTATATCAAATATACATAGTCACCACGTGTAGTCCTTTAACCAATCATATCCCTATAAATCTATAGGAGGTAAGATAATATGTTTTATGGATGTCTACCAAATGTTTTTAAAATATTAGAGGCAAGTTTAGCGGGTAGAAATATTTCTTGAAAATGTAAATTAAATATTTCAACAATGTTTTATGGATGTCTTCCCAATATTCTTAAAATATCTGAGGCTTATTTTGGTAAAATATTTCTTAAAAACATTATATAAATATTTAAACAATGTTTTATGTATGGAAGTGATCAAATGTTTGAACATGTTGAACAACATACAAGATAATATGTTTATAACATTTTTTAAATATCAGAAAAATGTTTTCTTGATATTATCAAGGATTTGTATACCACTATACAAATCCTTGATATTATATATATATATATATATATATATATATAAAAAAAACATTCTCCAAATGTTTTGATAAAATATTCCTCAACAATATAAAAAAAAACGTAAAACTAATGTTAGAAAGTACTAAAAATAAAAATATAAATAATATTTTTTTAATCATTAAAAAAACGTTTTAATAAAATTTCTCCAAATAAAATAAAAATGAAAGTATTCCTTTACCTACACCTTGCTAAAATTCAAATATGCAAACACTTTGCCCAATCATTTTCTTGAATAAAAACATGAAAGTAAATATTGTAGTACCGCATGAGCATACATAAAAACTAAAAACTGGTTGATAGTACTGGAAATACAGAAACAAACAGATTGAAGTAGTCGGCTGACTCTCTACAACTCTGCATAGATGCTACCAACTATTAAGTTCCAAAAATTGTTCTATTATAATAATTGTGAACAAACAAGGTCAATGCAGAATGAGACTTACTTAAGAGTTGAGTTACAACAATCTGTGAGTTCTCTACCCTCACCTTTTTCTTGGGACAAACTTGTGACAGTTTAATTGAATAATAAATATCAATTACAAAGGGTTTACTCAAAGCACTATGAAACAAAATATTGATAGAATCTGAATTCATGTTCAGTCCAACTCTCAGCTTGCAAATATATCATGCATATTTAGACTAATATTTATCAGCTCTCCTCTAGAGCACCTGTTTCTTGTTCTATCATTATATGTAGTGTACTGTAGACTGTTTATTTTTTATTTTGTTTAGCAATGAGATTGTTTTTCTCCGACTTGTGGATATTTAAATTTTTGTGTGATATTTTTCAGACTCTTTCAAACAATTGAGAGCAGTCAATGCATGACTTTGTATACTGCCAACATGAAAGCATTGCTAGGTTAGCTTATTTCCTATGACAGGACTTAATTATGAGATCTTATTCATTCAGAGTCTGAATCTTCAACTACAGGCCTCCTCTTCTTGTTTGCTTTCTGAAAAAAAAATACATATAAATGTTTAAACTCAATTGAGATTTAAGCTTTAAGCAGATATCAAGACAAACTGATTTTTTTTTGTTTTTTCAAACATTATGAAAAAAATTGTATTATAATAATTAGATTACATGTATACCGCTATTTTGATTGGTTAACAACAATTGGTGTCATTCTAAAATTGCATATTAAGATAAAACATTAAGATTCATGACACATGACTATAAACAAGAAGCTCAGGAGCCAGAATAGCTCACCTGTAAATTTTGTGTATATCTGTCATCACTGATTATTTTTGTGTGCTTAAAAATTTCATTTAAAGTTCCTATCATATTTTAAAGCCAAAAAAAATGCATTTTACC